GTTCCCAACAGATGTCGCTCGTAGTACCAGTCTGTGTCAGTCTCGTATCGAATTAGAGTTACCGGCGCGATTCCCAGCAGATGGCGCTGGTAGTACTATTTATTCTTGTTACAATATATTAATGACCTCTTGACATCTCATTATAATTGTGTATTGATTTGTTTAAGTTTGTGTTTACATTGTGAGGCAGTGAAACAGCACTTTCATTTTACTTCCTACGCTACTAGGCGAGGAAGTATTGTAATTCTGACAAATTCCGAAAATGGTATATTGTGTTTTTTTTTTTGATTTTACATGAAATGTACATCACGAAAAACCAAGTTTATCGCTTCCGTCTGCCTGTCGGTCTGTCTGTCTATCCGCTAATCGTTGGCCTGTCTACAACGTGAGAGTTTCGCTCGGAGTTTGATGAAATTTTTACTATGCCAAAGACGAAAAAGCTTTGCAGATTTTGAAAATCGTTCCAGTGGCGGCAAATAAACAAGAAAAAACGGTTAAATTAGGTTGTTGAGGATTGTAGGGTACATGGAAAATTTTTGATTTTAGTTCACGTATACGCTCCCAGCCCGGTAATTCTATGCACCTAGTAATTTTTCACACACCATATATTTCCACCTACATATACCTTCAAAACTTTTAAAGATGTTTTCGATCCGCGTACTCCTACTATCTAAGCTCACCGCCTGGTGAACCGAACTAATATATCAGTACTGTAGCGCAAATGAGGAAACGGACAATGTTGCCAGATGAAGAGCCGCTGCCGGTACGGCAGTTTAAGAATGTCTATGGACTGATGGTATGCGCCTGTTTGACTGACTGAATCCCTTAAAATTCTCTCTTGTGCATGTTCCTATCTGACTTTTTTCTCAAAAGAATTGATATGCGCTGAACTTCATCCTTTGTGAGCTGATGCAATCTACTCGACGCCATTTTTTATACATATATGTTCTGTATCTTGGTGTGTGTGCCAAAATGTGAAAAAATAAAATAAAAAAAAATAGTGTAGACTAAAGTTCAAAATATATAATGGGTGATTTTTTTGCTAGTATCTTTTTGGCAACACTGTTTTTGACAGATGACGCGTGAATCGTGTCTTGTGTCATTGTCAAACTTGTTCAGTTTGGTCTATAATTTAACCATGAATTGACTTACAAACGAACAACGTTTGCAAATTATTGAATTTTACTATAAAATTCATGCTCGGTTAAGAGAGCGCATCGAGCACTGTTTCCAATTTATGGGCAATTTGGTCGGCCTACTGAGGGAGCTATTCGGAAGCTTGTGACTAAATTTCGAACCCAGTTTACATTATTGGACATTAAACCACCAACACGCAGACGTAGAGTGAGGACTGAAGAAAATATTGAGGCTGTATCCGCCAGTGTTAGTGATGACCGTGAAATGTCGATTCGCCGCCGTTCGCAGCAATTGGGCCTCTGTTACTCCACTACGTGAAAAATTTTGCGACAGGATTTGGGTGTAAAACCTTATAAGATACAGCTGGTGCAATAATTGAAGCCACACGACCTCCCACAACGTTTCCAATTTGGTGAATGAGCGCTGGCAAAGTTGGAGGAAGATCCACATTATTATCGAAAAATTGTGTTCAGCGACGAAGCTCATTTCTGGTTGAATGGGTACGTTAACAAGCAAAACTGACGCATCTGGAGTGAAGACCAGCCAGAAGCATTGCAAGAGCTACCAATGCATCCCGAAAAAAACACTGTTTGATATGGATTATGCGCCGGTGGCATCATCAGGCCGTACTTCTTCAAAGACGACAATGGCCGGAACGTAACTGAATGGCGAGCGCTACCGTGCGATGATAACAAACTTTTTTGTACCCAAAATGGAAGAGCTGGCCTTGGCTGACATGTAATTTCAACAAGACGGTGCCACATGCCAGACCGCACGCGAAACAATAGCCCTATTGAGAGGCGAGTGCGGTAAACAGTTTATCTCACGTTTGGGGCCCGTCAATTGGCCACCTAGATCGTGTGATTTAACGCCGTTGGACTATTTCTTGTGGAGCCATGTTAAGGCTAATGTCTACAGGGATAAACCAGCAATGATTGACGCACGGGAAGCCAATATTGAAGCATTTATTCGTGAGATACCGGCCTATATATGTTGGAGAGAGTGTGCCAAAATTGGACCTTCGCCATCTAAAGCGGAACCGCGGCCAACATTTACATGAAATAATCTTTAAACTATTAAATTATATCGACCGCTCTATCGACTCAAATAAAGATTTAATCGTTTTTTCAAATTTTTTGTGTTTTTTACAAAAATAAAATCCTATACCTCTTAAAAAATCACCTGTTATGTTCCAAAATATTTATATGTAAGAATTTCATAGATGTGTTCATCTTGAAACATGACCCTAATCCTTTCGAAAAAACGGACGAGTTATAAACAATTCAAACCGCAACTTTCATTTCGCGTCACTCTTACATACCGTTAATATATTGAGCAACATAGACTCCAGTAAACCGGCATTCTAGGCTATTAGCAACTCCGTGCATGAGTTCTATACTCCGTCCGCAATATGTTTCTTAGATAGTCCCTCTAGAACAGTTTAACTGGCTATGCAGTAATTAGGTCAAACAAAAGCACTCCATTTTGCATTTGCATAGCGGAACGGAACCCTTCTCATGCTGCTCTAGTAGTTGCAGAGATCCTCCTCGATTATGAAACGGCGGGGAGGGGAGGGAGCTGAGTAAATTAACATGCCGCGGGCAGAAGGAGATTTCCTGAATTTTCTACCTGAACTCCTTTTAATCATAGACTCTCTTCGGCTGCGGAATAATGTCCAGGATATAAGCGAATTCATAACCCTTTCAATTGATGTTCTTTAGTTTACCTTTGCTGTAAATGTATAGGAGTGGCTATACGACTCGCAGCGGGAAAAGGAAATGAACTAGAAAAGCGTTCGTTTAAGAACTTTGAAGAAAAAAATATTCTCTGCCATCAGTTCATAAAGTATTATATTCGGTACAAGTTAGTCCCTCTGAGAAAAAAGTTACCTACGAAATATATGACCGAAAAATGCAATGGATCAAGTCAGTCAAACAGATCCGTACTATTAGTATATCATCTCCACCTATTTGGCAACGCTGCTATGACTAACCTGTCGAAAGTGTATACAGAGACGTATGCGTTAAAAATAAATATTTCTCTATCTTCTAAATTTCAGGGGCGAATCTAGGGTGAAACCTATGATGTGTGAAATAACATTTGGTAGGTGCGTAGAAGTCGGAAGCCTAAATCGCCAATTTCTGACCCCCAGGAATCTGTTCCTGGAAATGATCAGGAGACTCTGAAACTTCAAATCGCGGAGACTGGGCACGTACCTTTTTTGTTTTTTACCCCTGCTTCGCCGCCATCGGAATATGTTCAAAAACCACAACGCATTTTCGTCATTGGCATAGGTGAAATTTTCACACAATATCCGCGCGGTACTTTCCTAGTTATTAAAGGGCCAAGGATTGACATTAAATTTGGAGTAAAGGTTAGAGCTTTGTGAACTTTTTATTTTAGATCGCGTCTTGAAATAGTGAAAAGCCAACGGACAACACATATTTTATGTTTGCTGAGACTTCGCTGTGGTAAAAATGAAACCACCCCTCTATGCTACCCTCTAGTCGATATTTTTCCTAAAGCAAAGTTTAAGGTTATTCTTTTCGTTTTTGTGGTAGAAGGAGCCTGAGCGCGAATATCAAATTGCAGAGTTATAGAAGCCAAACGGATAAATGCAAGTCAATTGGAACAGCACCAAAATGGTGTTTTGCATATAGTGACGACGTCCATAATAAATGCAAGTTTTAGATCAAAACACTTCATAAAAATAATATCTAAGGTCCAAAATTGTTAGGTTTCTTGTTCCACGTCTTCAGCTGTAGATTACAAATACCTACGGCTAAGCTTGGGTATAATGGCTATTTGCATAAGTGATACTGTATAAATATTACATTAGGATACCTAAAAGTGCTTAAGCAAATAGTCAGATGTGTAGTAGCACCAGCTTTTAGCGTCGGGTATTTGTATAACTTATTTTCATGTAATAACCATTGCTCGAAATACGACAGAATGTGAAAAGGTGTTATATTCCGCTGGAACTCCGTTTTCCCACTATTTTCCTTCAACTTTAATCAATCACATATACCGTACCTATACATAAATGTTGATGTTAATTAACTCCAATTGACACTCACCTCAAGTAAATCATTGAGCTAAATGTACAAAAAAACAACGGTATTTATGATTACAAAAAATCTTTCCTAACTCCAGACACACTGTCTGCGTTTCGTGACTTTTGCCTAGAGTGGGGAGTGAGACGTGAACTATCGGAGGTCGTGGACAGTTCACACGATCAAGATTCGGTCTATTGGAAGAAGCCGACCAAGAAGGACCTTCTGATTGACAGTTGTGCTGTTTTGAATACAGATTTTAGTGATATAGCTGGAAAATCAAAAAATAAAAGAAAAAAAACCGCTAAAAATGTCAGTTTGATTTTCTCGTGGAACGCATTTCGCCACACATTTCAAACGTGTTTGATACTGAGCGTGAGCGGTCGTAGACTTATTTATACAGGGTTACAAAAGAATCATCGGGTTTTAAAAATATATATTTCTGAAGGTATTACAGATATAACAGTAAGTGACATGTCAATGGAAAGGTAAAATATTCAAGATTTTAAGCATGTTATCACAAATGTTCGTTGTGGGCTCCTTGCGTCACACGACATATGTCCAAACGATAGTCCAGTTCGGCCCATACACGCTGCAATGCGTCTCGATCGATATTGTTAATAACAGTAGTAATGCGTTACCGGAGTTGACCCAATGTTGCTGGCAAAGGTGGTATGTAAACCATATCTTTAATGTAACCCCAAAGGTAAAAATCGCATGGTGTAAGGTCGGGAGAACTGGGAGGCCACGCGAACAATACCAAACCTTGTGCAGTACCTCGGCCAATCCAACGGTGAGGCAGTGCCTCGTTTAAATACCGACGCACCTCATGATACCAGTGAGGCGGAGCTCCATCTTGTTGGAATATGAAGTTGTAGAATCTTCTGTTAGTTGCGGAAATAACCACAAATGCAACATATCTAGGTAGGATGAACTGTTCACAGTATTTTCATGAAAGAAAAAAGGCCCGTACACTTTATTTTTGGATATTGCACAGAAGACATTCAATTTTGGAGAATCCCTTTCATGTTGCACAATCATATGAGGATTTTCCGTGCCCGATATCCGAATGTTATGACGATTCACCTTTCCACTTGAATCAAATGTCGCTTCGTCGCTGAATACCAGACAGTTAGCAAATTCGTCGTCTTCCATTGCCTCCTGCATGTTAGAAGAAAAATCAAGTCGCTTTACGTGGTCGTCAGGTCGTACAGCATCTGTAGACGGTACGGTTTGAATCGCAATCATTTCCGCAAAATTTTCCATACGGTTGGCTGGGGAATACCAAATTCACTTCCTGCTCTGCTAGTGCACTGTCGCGGAGAATGCGTGAAACTGTGTCTAACTGCGTCCACCATTTCGTCAGGAACTCGTGGTCTTCCGGTACTTTTACGTTTAGTAATGGAACCTTCTTCTTGAATTGTCGATACCATCGTATAATGTTCTGATGACCTGGAGAATCAGTTCCATACCGCCGTTGGAATGCACGTTGCACTGTAACAACCGATAAACATCGCGCGTACTCTAACACACAAAACGCTTTCTGCTGCAGAGTCGCCATTTTGTATTCCGAGCTCGTGGCGCCACCTAGGGAGGTAAAGCGGAGTTCGCAAGCACGTGCTATAAACATTTTTCTTTTCTAGTGATATGTCATTTGATATTATATTTGCAATACTCTCTGAAATATAAATGTTTAAAACCCGATGATTCTTTTGTAATAACCCTGTATATTACCTCCCTCTGGATTATGTCAGAGGCAAATTTATAACACCTCGTTCGTTCCAAGGCGTTCCACGAACTCTAGGATCACTCTAGCGTGCCACTGAATGTGAGGACGCAGCGTTGAATACACCAATTTTCTAAAGTGTTCTCTATCAGGTTTTCACATTTAAATAACTCGTACAATGGAAGTACAAAGATAGTAGACTGCTATAATGGCATATCGATAACAGAGAACCTGGTCACCGGACGCCTATCGTCGATGTGAGAGCTTCTCTTAAGGCAGTGTCATCGACCAGTCGGAAATGCCAGTACCAAGAATCTTGCGGTTGCAGGCCAGCTAGGCCAGCTAGATAGTTCTTCATTCATATCGAGCTATTTCTCCTTCATCGAGACACTACGGAGAATGTCAATTTTGAATTCAGTAAAATATCTCGAAAAACCTACTTACAACGTTGAAATCGCATTTCGAGAAACGCAATCCAAAAACGGAGGAAAACCATTAATTGAGGAGATCTGCAAACCGCAGTTTTTGAAAAATTGGCAAATCTGGGTTAGGCATGTGAATAGTTCAGTTGTTTACCGGCAGTTACGAAGTGTGCGTGTTATACTTTTGCGATCTGTTGCTGCTAAATTACGCAATATTTCGAAATTAAAAATGGATGATAGTAGTCTAGTGCTAGTTAGTGGCGCATCTGATGGTTCGAGAAAAAGAAAACGAACTATGTCTAAACGAGAAAGGGCAAAAAAAATGCGGTAAGTTTGAATATAAAAGCAAGTGAGCGAAGTTGTTTTATATTTTTTATTGTTTTAGATACATGAATCATATGCCTAATGCTGAAGATTTTGAAGTGAAGTGCAAGCATTTAAAAACTGCACTCCAGTGTCATGAAGTTTCTACAGAGGATGTAAAACGTGTTAGAGAGTTTGTGTATAGACAACCAGTAAAAACGATAATAGATAATAAAATAGCCCACTTGATTGAAGTTAAGCATCCTAAATGGAAAAAAAGTGGAGAAACATTGACAAATAAAGGCCAAGCAATTAGGATGGATTATTTTTTAAGAAATATTAACTCTGAGAGGCTGCTAGTGTGTCAAAAGACGTTTTTGGCTGCTTTGAAGATCTCACAACGGAATATCCTTACTATCGGAAAAAAGAAGGCAGAAGGGAAGATAATTGAGAGAAGGGGAGGTGATCGAAGAAGCAAAAAATACGAGGAGCAGAAAAACAGTGTTAAAAAATTCATTTGGAATTTACATGCAAGTGAAAGTCATTACAATCGTAAGAAATCGAAGAGACTTTATCTTTCATCTGACTTGAATATTGCGAAACTATCAAAACTTTATAATAACTCTGTAGAGCTGAATTTAAATGTCTCGCGTCGTTATTTTTATAATATTTTTGTACGCTATTTCAATCTCGGCTTTAGGAATCCCGCAAAGGATGTATGTAGTCTATGTACCCGTCTTAAAAATACAATTAGATCCACAAAGAATGCAGCTATGAAAGGAAAATCTATTACTGAGCTGAGAATTCATAAATTGAGAGCTAAACAATTCCACCTTTTTTGAAAGCAATTCCGGAGAACAGCTTCACAGTATGCTTTGACTTGCAGCAAGTCCAAGCGTTGCCTAAAATGAACATAGGGGAAGCATTTTATTTACGTCAACTTGCTCTATACAACTTTTGCATAACAGAACCTAGAACAAGACATCCTTACTGTTATACTTGGACAGAGAATCAAGCGAAAAGGGGACGGAATGAGATAGGATCAGCCATATACCATATCTTGACAAATCGCGAGTTTCCAGAGAGTTGTAAATTAGACTATTTGCCGATGGATGCGGAGGACAAAATAAAAATTCTTTTATCATCCACACGTTGATGTTCTGGCTTTCCACTAAGGCACCTAAACATATTGAAGAGGTGGTCCTGTATTTTCCGGTGAGAGGTCATTCTTATCTACCTGCAGACAGAGTACTCGGTCGGATAGAGAAGATCTGCAGAAAGTGGTCTGAAATTACCACTAAGGAAGAATACTGGAATATCTTTGGAGAAGTTGGGAATGTTAAAGTGATGGGACAAGATTGGGACTTGTTGGATTGGAAGGATTTTTCTAGTACAAAATTCAAGAAAAACAGTGGTATACAAGAAGTAAAGCGAGTTCATTTGAAAAGGGTTCGTGAAAAGTGTTTGACAAAATTAGAAGTCTTCTACAGAACAGACAACGATACAAAGTATCAGAACTACTTGAAACGAGGTGCGAAATTAGAAAATTACCAACCTAAGCAAATTGAACTGCGCAATAGCATTAAAAAAATTAAGCTTGAAAACGTTGAAACCCTATTAAAAAAGTATCAAGAAGACTGGGAAGATAATGAAACCTTCGCTTGGTACAAGAACCTACTAAATGAAAGAAGACATCCTACAGGAGACGAGGAAGAAACATGCCCGGAATCCGACGATGTAGATCCAGAGTTGTGTGATTGTGCTGAGGAAGACATTGGCTTGAAAATATAATTATATAACTTTCCGTTTCATTTATGTTTCATATGAATAGATTGGTTTTTCAAAACGCAGTTTTAATAGATGTGGAAAATCAAAATGCGGTTTGTTGTTTGTTTTTTTGTGTTAGTCAGCAAACGATAAGGACCAGATTTCAGCAGGTTAGTGTAGCCATTTCGTTGTCTCTGAAATTTGAGGTGGTATGTTTGGCTTAGCATTCTGTTTCTCCATTTACGCACCTTAAACAAACGTCTTTATCTCAAAACGTTGAAATTTCAAAGACTGCAGTTTGCAGATCACCTCAATTATTGAACAACAATAACGCACCGATGACAATTAAAAAAAATGGTCAACATAAAACACTAGATGAGTGAAAAGCTTTAAGAATTATTTAATGTCCATAAATATTTGGTGAGAGGATTTTTCAATGATAAAATGGCGGTTACAGTCAGGGAACATCAAAATAAGGAAAATGGCCATGTAAACTTAGATCGTTATGTTGTATACGGGTAGAAAACTGAGAAAACAAAAAAGTTGTGAACTTATGACCAATACTTTATGTAAAGGAGAAGTAGGAAGGAATCATAGGTGGATTTCTCTTTTGGACAGAAAATGCTATCTAATGCAAGCAGCTGGTTGAATCAGTTCAATATAGAGAAACAACCCATAACTGTTGATATAGAAATATGCCGAAAAATTATTAGTAAAAACAGGGATATTCATGGGGGAAAAACTAATCTCGATAAGCTGAAATTTTCATAAATCTCTTACCTAAACACCCGAGGGTACCATGGGGCTATAGGGAAATACAGGGGAAAGAGGGGAACATCACACGGACTATAACGAGGTAATACGTGCGAATGCGAGATGCGCAAATTCTGGTCCCGCCTTAGAGATCCGCAGGGTGGTACCTCCACGCTCGACAGTCGGAGATCGTCTACCACCTGCGAATTGACAAACTTTTTATTAAGATTATTAGGGCAATCATAATTGATGTGAAATTGTAAAGCCACAGTCACAAGTATACTCTAAGCTCCAACTCAATTATCAACATTTGAACAGTCGGAGACCGTCTACCACCTGCGAATTGACCAACTTTTTATCAAAATTATTAGAGCAAGCATAATTGATGTGAAACTGTAAAGCCGCAGACACTAGAATACTCTAAACTCCAACTCGATTATTAACATTTGAACTGTTGATTTACAACGATATATTGCCAAATCTTCCTTTACATTAATAGGGCTAAAGTCAGGAATCCAACGCCACGATAGCACAGATGTTCGTACGTATTTATTTTTTGCTTTCAGGCGGCTGCTAGCATAATATCAGAGATCGAAAGCAATATACGCCTCAGCCAAATCGCAAATCAATCCCAACGTTCGCTTCAGTGACACGAAATCTCTGATCTAACACCACATTCCCGATGGAATATACTCTCGTATGTCGTAAATATTTCGTAAATGGCGTATGTGATAGACCCAAAGCCATAAGTGCGGTTTGAAATGTTTCAATGGGAGTATTGTGGTTGGGAGAGGATGTTCCCTTTCCGGCAGCCGACCCACAAAAGTCCTCGATGGCACTGCAGCCTCTTGGCTCATTATACATTGTTCTAAACTCGCTTAGTTCTAATTTTAGATTTCCGAAGAGTTGATTTGATGCCCAACAGAACATTCCCGATGAAATATACTCCCGTATGTCGTAAATATTTTTACATGGCGTATTTGATACACCCAAAGTCATAAGTCTGGTTCGAAATGTCTGAGTGAAATTAGGGTTCGTCAGAAAGAACGCATGTCTTTCGAATGGGTACTACATTGAGTGGGCTTGTCCCGTGTCGGTGGGGAAGAGCGTGTTGGATAGTGGGAGAAGTGCCGTTTCAATTGGTAAGATGGTTTGGGTCGTTGAGCATCGTGTGTTCACTGTGCGTCGTACACAGCGACGTCTTGATTAACGAAAAATGTTGTTGAGTTCTAACCAATTAAACTTTTATTTTTGTCTAATGATATGCGGAATAAAGCATCTTCGGAAAATTCCTCATCATTTTAATAAAAGGCGAGCCTAAAGTTCTGGAACGGCAAGATATACGGGGAAATGCAACTGTTGTGGTAAAAGTAAAGTAGTATGGGTTTAGGATATTTCCTTGCTATTCGGTGGTGACCTTCAATTTGACCATGGGCATGACCTTGGAGGTCAAATCAAGGCCAAGATAATTTGTGTAGTAGACATAAAATAGATTTTCCAGATTTTTTCCTGGCCACTCAGTGGTGACGTTGAAATTGACCTTGCAAGTCAATTAAAAGTGAACACCCCGGAAATGGACAGAACGCAATTTCTCACGTCCAGTATGACCTTGAGTGAACACTATTTAGACCTTGAACGCCCTGGTCAAGGTCGTCGTAAATCAGTTCAAGAGATTTCAACGACTTTTCTGAAAACTAAACAATAATAACTTTAAAAACGGCAAGTCGATTTTTTCCTGGCTATTCACTAGTGATCATGAAACTGACACTGACTTTGACCATGACATTGAAAGTTAAATCCAGGTGAAACCAACTATCACCAAATGTCATGTCGGAATGTAAAAGTTTCCATTCTACTAAACCGAAAATATAAGTAATAGAAGATAGTTGCCACTAGTCCTTCACCAAGGCTTATAATGAAATTACATATTTAACTATACTAAGTGACATATAAATCCGAACACGCAGTTTAAATGGTTTTATTTTAATAAAAGTTGGTGAATGTATTTATCTTACTGTAAATAACAAGTGAAAAAATTTTCAGCCTTATCAGTTGGACAGTCCGGTTTTTATACTGCTTTTTTTTAATTCACTAACGCTCTAAAAATGAATATTTTAGCCGCAGTAAAGAATCAACGTTGGCGGATTTTGGTTCTTGACATCCTTTACGATCGGTTACGATGCCTAGAGTACGGAGACCTGTACGATTTCGTCAACTTAGTGAGTTTGATAGGGGCCGTATAGTGGGACTTCGGGAAGCTGGACAATTGCAGTTAGAGTGCAAAGAAGTGCAGATACTGTGGTTAGGTGTTGTCAGGCATGGCTTCAAGAAGGCCGTACGCAAAGAGCAAGGGGCACTGGACGCCGCCGTAGAACAACAGACCGTGAAGATCGCCGCCTAAGATTATTGGCCTTAAGGGACCTTTTCTCCACTACCAGGTCCATTGCAAATGAATGGTTTGCAGAATACGGAAGACCTATTGGCATGCGAAGTGTTTACCGACGAATGAGAAGTTTTGGCTTGTTTTCATACCGGCCACACTGGGTCCTCCCTTTAACTCGAGAACACCGACGTAATCGCCTTGAGTGGTGCAGACAACGGTCACTCTGGGATCAGGAATGGAATAGTATTGTCTTTAGTGACAAGTCTCGATTTTGTTTAGGCATGCACGATGGTCGTGCCAGGGTTAGAAGGCGACGTGGTGAAAGGAGGAATCCACAGTTTTTTGTTGAAAGACATGTTCATCACACTGTTGGAGTTATGGTTTGGGGTGCTATAGCTTATGGTTCCAGGTCACCTTTAATCTTCATCAGAGGTAACATGAACGCGCAGCGTTATATCCACGAAGTTCTAGAACCCCATCTTTTACCCTATCTTGACAACCTGGCAGATCCAACTTTCCAACAAGATAATGCCCGACCACATGTTGCAAGAGTCACAATAGACTTCTTTCAACATAATGATGTCACATTGTTACCATGGCCACCAAGGTCTCCCGACTTATCCCCAATTGAGCACGTGTGGGATATGATGGGTAGGAGATTGCTCAATTTGCAACGTCCTCCTCAGACTCTAGAAGCACTTCGAGAGGAATTGGTGGTTGCCTGGAATGAGATACCACAGGAGGACATTGACCACCTGATCAGAAGCATGCCTAGGCGCGTTGGAGAATACGTAGCACATCAGTGTGCATCCGCACATTATTAAAGGTCAAAGGGCTTTAAAGCAGTGCAATCATTTAGAAATTTTTATCATTT